ATTCTCTGGTTAATTGATAATGGCTTAGTATTTTATAAAAATGTTTACAAAAAATTAATGGCAAAATATGTTTGTAATAAAAATGGTATCAATGGAACTAATGGGTTGCCACATTATGGTTTAAAGTATGAAAATATTGCCATAGTGACTTTGCAGAAGATTTTAATTTTCATGGGTGACTTAAGCCGTTATAGAACTAAGCAACTGCAATCAAATGATTTTAGTGAAGCTCATAAGTACTACTATGAAGCGTTTACATTAATACCTACTAATGGTGTACCGTTTAATAAACTAGGAGTCCTTTGTATTCAAACGGTAATATTAAAAATACTTCTGTTAGAATTTTTAACTATTATTACTCTTTTAAATATTTATTTCTGAAATTAGCGTAACAAATTTGATGCAATTTACTTTCAAATGCGTGGTCTCATGGCTATTAATTCCGTATATATTGCAAAGGAAAGGTTAACTATTATTTACGATGAAATTCGAAAGAAGGTAAAATTTATTACTTTATGTGTATTTAAAATTTTATTTGACCCTTTTTGTTTGTATTACAGTACGAAGAGACTGAGTTATCATCATCTCCAATACATCAGTATAAAGAAAATACTATGCCTACCAACCGTAAAGAGATCTGGGTATATCCAAATGGCGTACGGCGTCTCCATCGTGCAATAATAAGTAAAACCAGTAAAGTAACACTTAGTCAAGAAAATCGTCTTAATATTTTGTCAACGGAAGAGGTAATTTCAGCTAAATAATATTATATAATGGATGTGTTTATATATGTGTATATTTCATAATTTTAGTTACTACGTCGTTTTTTATCTACTTTTATCTACATTAATGGAAAATTCTATAATGGTGTTGAGTAAGTTTTTAATGATAAATCTGATAGAATGTTCTAGAATTTAGTTCAATATACTACATTTTATATAAAATAACTCTGCATTATGATCTATAACTTTATCAGCAGAGTTATTTATTTGCATGTAAGCTGATAAACGCTTACTGATTTATGGCTTAAAACATTTTAATTTGTTGCATGATTAAATCATAATATTTCATTAAATTATATATATTCAATATTTCGGCTGTTAACAAAATTTTTTATTTTACTCCTTTTACAAACTTGATTTCAGTATGGACTCCATAGAGGCGTTTGAACGAAAGCTTTTAGTTCAATTAAGTATCTTGCTTAAAAGGAGTCCTTTGGTTATTTCACGTTCAAAATTGTTAAAAGTGGTTGCCTTAAATATCTTCGTCATAGAACATAATAAAAATAAGAAAGGTAATATGAAAAGACTAAATAATCTGGGTAATTGAAATATATGAGAAATTTATTATAAATAATTGTTAATTTTTTATATTGTTTTTTTTTTACAGCAGCTGGACGTGAAATACGGTATCATGCATTTAATTTCGCAAATCAAATATTTGGTTCCATAGTTAATAGAGCTAATCAGTTGCTAATTGACTATATTGAGACTGGACAAGCTTTCGAAAAGAATAAGTAAGTCGCATAAGTCGCAATATAATAAGATTATATATCTAATAAAATTTTAATTGAACAGTTTTACGGATTTAAATACTTTGTTGCAATATATTAAAATCTATACTGATTGGATGTCACTTAATATTGATTTATGGGAACCAATACGCAATGAGTACGTGATTTATAATATTTATTTGTTTATTTGTTTTTATTAACTTGTATTCATTTACATAGGAATATTGTTATTGATTCATGGTTTGAGCTGGAATCACTTTTCAAAACTCTTTATCATTTACAAAAGCATGAGATGACAAAGCATGAAAATGTTGTTGTAGAAGAAGTTATATTGGATGAAAACAATTTTCTTGTTGGTTACATACCAATAGGTTCAAAACAAACTCAGTATTACAAAGTGAATGATACTCCCCAAGAAACACAATTTTATGCACGTATAATGATAATCTCACAATTCAGAAGTATTTTTGAAAAACATGACAATTTATTGAAATTACCCGAAGATTTAAGTTTCGATACGGAAGCTGATATAGATGATGCTGCAGAATTGGGTTTCAAAAGTTTATCTTCAGATGAAGACGATGCTACCGATAGTGACAATAATGAAAATGTTGGCATAAACATTTCTAAACAAACAGAGCATATGACGCGTTTAACAAAACTTGATACAAAAAAGAATGGTCATGTGCAGAATGGTTGTAAAAATTTGGATGTAAGTTACATTGTACTTATATTAATTCAATTGATTGGAAATTAATTAATTTCATTTTTTTTAGGAACTTTTAAATTTTGTCAATAAAACATATATTATAGAAGTGCGTCCAAAATTTTTACTATTAGACACCAACTGCTTTATTGACTGTCTGAAAGATTTCGTAACTCTTATTAGTAATCATAATCGTTTTATATTGATCGTACCATTAACTGGTAAGTAATCTGAACATCTCTATTAATATATAAAAAGTACAATGTATATAATATATATATTTAAGTATATATAATATAATATAAATATTTAATAAAGATAACTATATATCTAAGAATGGTGATTTGATACACCATTCGTTACTCTTAAGAAGGTAGAAACAGTCTTAGGTAACCTTGATTCAATTAGTTATAAAATGCAAGTAATATATTAAGTTCCGGGTATTAAAATTTTTATGTCCTATGATAAAAAAATATTTCGTATGAAAAAAGAATAAAGATAAGGAAATTTATTGCCTGACCATAAATTTGTGTACTTATGTACTCATATATGTATGTGTCAGGTATCGAACCCTGATAAATTTGAAACGAAGACTCGCATGTAAACACCTTGAGCCAACGTCACACCTTAATTATCTTGTTTAAATTCAACAGAATGCATTTTTATCCTCAGTGTATCAAAGTGTTCCGAGTATTGTATTGCTGTTGGTGTTGTTGTTGAAGAGATCTATGTAGCAGAAGATATGATGGGATTTACTTTCAACGAATATATAATTTGGATATAGATTACGTAAGGTTTCTGATTTTGTTGAGAAGATCTATGTAGCAGTAGGCATAAAAGGATTTTCTAACAACTAATAAGGGATAAAAGAAAGGAGATATGCAATAAAGAATGGATGAGGTGTGGGTGGGAATATACTCGTATTCGAAGATTTGGAGCAAGCTATTCGGCGTTCGAACTTTTTCGAAAGACTTGATACATAAAGAATGGAATGATCGAAGTTTAGAACATATTGAATAATGTTTGAAGCTCTATTATACACATGAATTTCTTATAATATTTAATTTAAATAATGATTTAATATAATAAATAATTTGCTTAAAATAGTTATAAAAGAACTCGATGGTTTATCCAAGGGTATTAAAAGGGAAATGGACAAAAACATAAAAAGAGATAGATTGCAACATTATGATGATGTGACAACGGCCGCCAAAAAGTCATTAGAGTTTTTAAAAGCACCGAAATGTAACGTTAAGTAAGTTAAATCAGATAATACTAACTTCAAAGTATATTTTTTTATATATATATAAATTATAACAGTTACTAATAAATAAAAAAATAAAAATCTAATAATAAAATCCTTTAAATTACTTTTAGATTTGTTACAACGAAGGGATCTTTTATACATTCCTCTTTGTTTGGTTTGGTTGAAGAAGAAAATATTTCTAACGATGATAAAATTTTGGCAAGTGCCCTTTCTTTATGTAAAAATATGAGTATTGAGAAGACTAAACGTAGGTTTTCGAATATTGTTATAAAAATCTTTTAAATTGTTATATTTAAATGTTTATTTATTTAGGTAATAATTCTTTAATTCGCACTGAACTGGTGGTTATTACAACGGATAGAAACTTACGTGTTAAAGCGCTTGCACGTAATTTGGCGGTAAGTGGTCTCAGTGAATTCTTGCTATGGATAAATGGATGCAGTACATAGGATTTAAGTTGGTTATAACGGGTTATTCAAGTATTAATGTAACGTATGACGAACATACACATTATCATCGTGTTATGCTGGTATAAATGCTATATTTCTGGCTGTTAGGACCAACTTACAAAACTAATACAATGGATCACGCAAAGTAGCTGTGGTACGGCTTACGAAGTCAAGTGAACCCATCCAAATAATAAATTTACGATCACAAATATTTGTGAACTCTTTTAGGAATTTTACTTATGCAAACGTGAGCATTTTTTATTAATAAATTTCATTAACTTTAAAATCATTTAAATCTTCAGTGGATTTGTTCATTAAGATAAAGATACGTAATAAAGTTTTTGTGTTATCACCGAAGTAAAGTTATTTTATTTATTATGGAAAATTTCGATTATCATTGCTTAAGCTAAAAACTCTCATAAGAGTAGTTCTGACAAATAAGGATTCATTGTTCTGACTCGTTAAAAATCTTTATAAGTATTAAAAGATGAGAATCTTTTAAACTTTTTATCTGTTTAAACTTAAGTGAACCATAATAAATAAATAATTAAAATAAATAAATAATTATTTTTATTTTTATATTATTATTTTATGTTTTAGATAAAATTCTAAACATCAATAGAAAGTATTTGAATTAAACATTGGTAAGAACTATTATAAAATAAAACAAAGAGATCTTCAAGATCTCAATCAGCGATGTCACATTTGTTTTTGTAGTGCTCTTTTCTATACGATTTAACAAAATTGCTTTTTTTGTTGTAGTTGTAGTTGTTATTGTAATACGAAGAGATCCTTATAGCAAGAACTATGAAAGGAATTACAAAATATGAACATGAGGGTAAGAATATAGATTATATAGAGTACAGTAAGAGAGATAAAAGAGATAAAATAGAGATAAAAGCTGAATAATGAACTATCCTGGTCCAAAGCAGAGGAGCTTAAATATGTAGGTAAGAGCTTAAGATCAATACGGTTTAAATTAGTTTGTAATGGGATATAACTACAGGTAAGCGTTATCATGGGGGTAGAGTTGCAGTTGGAGTATACATTGGGAATTGATATATTGGCATTACCCTAACTTCCTTCTGAGAACTTAGTTGCTGTGAAACCGTGGTCGCGATGACGGTTATGCATCTGCATCGAAGGCTGTTAGTTCACGGTTATATTCGACCTCAATAATATTGGCTTTATTTCAATCGGCGTTGTTGTATTCATGGTATGAAGAAAGCGATTGACGGATACTTAGTGGAGAAAAAGATTAACTGATCATGTTGCCATAGGAGTATATATCTGCATGGCACGCAAGTAGATAATGCTCGGACAATAATTAATTGCGTTCCTTCGCTGAAGTGGTTTATATTTTGCATGAAAATGGTGAACACGCGATATGACAACTGATTGAAATCCCTAGGGCTGCATTTTCACAAGTTTGGATATGGTTTGGATATGTAATAGAACACCTGATTGCTTTGTGTGTGGCCAGCAGGTTTATTAGTCATTTTAAATGGGTCACAATTTTCATGCATGATACTTGCATTCTTCCAAGTTTGTAGCATTGAATGGTAATTATTTTGAATAATTATATAAATAAACTTGTCATACTGTACCTGAACTATATCATTTATAGTCATACTATCCATTTGCATAGAAGTTATTTCCAATAGTACTATACTTACACTGACAAAAATCTTTAATTAAAAAACGTTGCATTATTCGTTTTAGCGTATTATTTCGTTAATTGCTTTATTGTATGTTTGTTTTGCTTTTAAATAAATGATTTTAAATTAAAGTTAAAATTTTAATAAATAAACTTAATTAGAAAAAATTGCAAATTAATTTTATACTAAAAATACAAATAATAATTTAGCGTCATTAGAAAGTATAGATTACTTAAACGAAGGCAGAAGACATACACGTACATACATACATATGTTTATATACAAATATACATGTATAATAATAGCATAAGAATTAATTTTAAAACTATAATTTTATTAAAATATAATATTGTATATATAGAGTTTCCAATAAAATTAAAATGAATCGAAAGGCAAATTAGTTCCAGTGTTTAGGAATACTAAGTTTACAGTCAGAGCTTCGCTTAAAATGAAATAGAAAGAAAAATATACTTCTTCCGATTTTAATCTATATAATTTTTGAAATGATTTACTACGTGTAACTCCGCGGGTCTGACATTTATCAACTACAATACTTTTTTCTTTATATTATTCCGATATATACCATAGTACTAAAAATGTTTAACAAATTATGAACAAATCCTAAAAGGCGCAATAATTGCATAAATATGTATAAGTGGGTATGTAAGTATGCATTTGTATATGTAAATATCTATGTATATAATATGTATTAGCAGCTTAAATGTACTCTTCGAAAATCAGAAATACAATAAAATTTCTCCATAGCTTTATGTTTTGCTTAATTTCCTTATATAAAAAGTAGAATTGCGCTTGTTACTAAATTTTGTTGGGGTTTTCGGTAAGAACCCGCAGGGATCCATTGGCAATAAAGAATTGAAAATTGGCCAACTGGATTGAACATTTAAAGTGCAGTTTCCAATGCTGGCATAGAAGCACTCATATTGTTTACGGGTCCATTTTTACTCGCTGTCGGCTCCACATCAATGTGACTGCTCGCGTTAAATTTGGCTACAGCTGCACCTACGGGGCCGCTGACATATTTATTGGCACTTACTGCATTTTTACCGAAATTATGCTTCATTTCACCACGCATGAAATTATTTTCTTCTGTTTGTAAAAAAAAATTACGTTTAAGATCGAACCGTTCTTGCGCGGAGATCTCACGTTGTTCGGTAGCATCACCTACTTCAGAGCTTGTTCTCGAGCTATTCGAACCGCTTGTATTCGAGTGATCTTCCTCACTGTTCGCCTCTGGTATGGTTGTCGACATTATATCGGTACGTGGCACATTATTTGCGCGCCAAGTGGCAGCCGGAGAGCTTTTCAATTTTGGTGCAAAAGATTTAGAAGGCGAACCGAATTGCCCTTGTCGCAGCATACGTCTGTTGGCGAATGTTTTCGGCGAACCACTGAGATCAAGTAATTTCATACTTGAATTAACTGACTGCACTGCTGAATTGGTATTGTTATTGGTATTTGGCGCTGTAGTGCTATTACCGTTTGTCTTCTTCAACAGTTCTACTGCGGAGACTTTCTTTTGTATTGGACTAGTTTTCGTTGATTTTGCCAATAATAATTTTTTAAAGTCCATTAGACTTGTTTTGCTTTGACCTATGCGATCAGCACAAGTATTCAGACGCTCCGGAGAATTGTCATCCCAGTTAGCAATGCGCGATGTTGGCTGTTTGGCGGGTATATCATCCGCTGGCAGTTCGCTGTCCACTATTTTAGTGGGCGTGGATGTTAAGAAATTGCTGCGATTACGTGGCACAATCGGTGATATATGGCTGTTAGACGCTGTTGCATTTCCGGCAGCTGCAGCACGTGCTACTCGATCTGCACGTCGTATAGGCGTGGCATACAAATCATCACGACTTGTTGCGCTCATCGTTTGATTCTTCGTTTGCCGTCGATTCTGCAATGTCCAGTAAATGGGCGTATTGCGTTGAAACGGTGTGTTGGCAGTGACAGTGGCATCTGTCTCTGAAGTTATATCCGCTTGTTGTTGTGTCAACTGCGGTGCCTGTTGAGATGGCAGTGTTGGTTTTTCCTGATGCTGGGTCTGCATACCATTGGTCGCCTTATAAAAATGTTGATAACCTATGAGAAAAAAATTATTTAAAAAATTAATTAGAATTTGTTACTAATATAGTGAATTATGGATAAATTTTTTAAGTAAAGTACTTATGTTTAAAGTTTGAAGGTATGAAAATGTTAGTAAATTCAAAGCAGGCAAGTACTACAAAATGCGGGTTATAGTTCAGAAACAGAAAGCGGTGCAAGAGGTAATACGGATACACATTAATGAAAGCCAAAAACAAGCAATAGAGCAACAGTTGCAAAAATTAAAAAAAAATATTTCTCTACTTACCTGTCGTTGCATGTGCGTAAGTGCAGACTATATTTACATACATATTTATGCATAACTATGCTTTGGGCTATGTACATATATATATATCATATACATATTTATATCACAAGATGTTAAGTATTTATATATACATTTATGTATGTACAAACATAATTACAAGTAACTGTGTCATGTGCATGTACATTGTCGATGTGGCTGGAACACCAATGACCCCCATAGTAATTATGTACAATATTCAATGCGATGGTGGATGAATGGAACTATGTGAATCTTAAAAACGAACCTTTTGCCTAGTAGGTCATTTTAAAAAATAACTAAATAAACCGGATTAAAAATTGATTTTCTATTCTCTTACATTTTCAATTTGATATATCATATACATATACCGAAACTAATGTGAATGTCATACCTATATCAAAGACAGCTGATACAAGATTTTTATGAAGTAAGTGCTGGTGATGGAAAAGTCGGGTCAAGAACAACTTGACGTTAATCGCTATTACCGAGCTGTCTAGCGAAAGCTAATGGTGGAAGAGTCAGGTAAAGAACAATCTGACATTAATCGTTACCACCGAGCTGTCTAGCGGAAACAACTGAAGTCTATTGTGAACGCTACACGTTTAAAAAGCTCAATTAAGTAATATATTTTTAACTGAGAAAAATTAGAGATGCGAATAAATGGAATGCGAATAAACTAATATACATATATTTCAACTATTTGTAAGTTATTTCAGTGAAAAGTGTAGTGCTATCACACATTGCACCTATAACTATATAAACATTATTATGTATTACTAACAATAAAAAATAAGTAACAAGAATGACGACTTCTCCACTTACAAGTCTTGTACCAATATAAATACATCACAGGATTATAAAAAGTTACTTAAAAGCGTAAGCCTCTTCAGGCGTTTACAGGAACCATATAAGGGAGAGGTTTTGAAAACTACTTCAACATTTAAAAGCTCTACAGTGCGCACTGCGTACTTTGGGGTGTGTCTGTGGTAGATATCAAAACTCACGCAGGTAGAGTAGCATAGAGATTTCAGGATGCTGTCGCTACTTACTTAAAGAGAAGCCATGCCTATATGCATGGTACCGACGGAACTGGTTTCAATTGGGTGTTGATGAGTGTATGACAGTAATCCGAATGTTAAGTTAACCGTGGTAACAAGCCATCCTAGCAGGTGACCGTTTAATGTTTATGTTTATTAGTCAGTAAAAATGTCTTCTGGGTAATATATCGACATACTAAAATACTCATTACACTAACGTTATTGTACTCAAAACGTGTAAGAACCATTATGTTTTAAGTTTATAGGTGTCGGTAACTATAGCTAATTCTGCTTTTAAAATATTTGCAAATCGGGTAAACACTTGGAATGAATATGTTATAATAGATTATAATAGACAACTACATATATATGTTGTATATATTCCACAAGTTCTATTTATTATTTTATTCTTAGAATGGAAAGCCATATTCAGTGATTGAATGTTTTACATGTATATTACATGTAATGTAATGGTTTGCATGTAAAAACATACAACTGTTACCTTTAACTGGTTGTCATCTGCGCGGGGTATAAGAATTTATTTATATATGTGGTTTGACCATTTTCCATTCGAGAATAATATGTATAATATATATATAGTGTATGGTATATAAGACCTATTATGCTATCCCTTAAGATATGGTTTTCATATTTAAATACACTCGTGTGAGTTCAAACGATTTACGATTAATGTGACTTGGATTATAGTAACCTTAGTACCTGTATAATATGATGTATGGATTAATTTTCCTAAAAGATCGTGTGATTTGTTGTGAATATTGTGATTGTGTGTATTGAACCAGTTCTGATGTAATTTATAAAATATATGTTTTATAATGAAAATCCCCAAATTTATAAATATATGTGTCATTTATGAACGAAGTGCAAACTTAACAATAAAAATTTTAATGATGATGAAGTGCTTTTAGAACATTTTTTATGCTTTTATTATTTACTTTGTTTTTTATTAAGTACAAACAATTGATATTAAAATTAATTAAGTTAAAAAAGTATTAGTAATACTTTCACAAAATGCTTAGTGATATAGAACGGAATGTAGCGTTTTATATAATAAAATAAGTGATCATATACAATATAACAAATAACACAAAAGAACAGCGCTAAAATATAAGTTAAAGAACAAAAGCAGACACTAATTTTTCAAAAAAATAAAAAAAAAACTACTAAAAAGTTGTTAGTAATAACAGTACTAAAAAGAAGTACTTAAATATTTTAACTCCAAAAAAAAAAAACTACTACTACAACATTTTACACAAACAATGAAGTAATAGAAGTATTCTGCACAATTTTTTTTTTAATTTTTAAAACTATATTTAATTTAATTTAAGAATTTTATGAGCTTAATAAAATTTAAAAAAAATTAATGTCTGCTTAAACATTATTTATTTTATATATATAGAAAAATTTAAAATTATTTTACAATTATATTCATTAAAATTATTTTATAAACAATTTTTTTTACATATTAAAAATTTTATTTTTTATTTATGAATTAAAAAAATAATTAAAAAGTTTAGATATTAATTAAATTAATTATTTTTATAAAAATTTATTTAGTTTATAAACAAAATCGGTGCAAAAAACTTTGACATGTACATATATATATGTGTGTGTGTAATTGTATGCTAGTATGCGTGTGTTTTCTGAGTGACAAGTGTAATAATATAATATACATATATAAAATTATTTTATAATAATTTACAATTTATATTTACTACAAAATATATAAATTAAATAAAATTATTTTATTTTATTTTTAATACATAAATAAATACTCGTATTTATAATATTTTTGCAGATCGTAAAAAACAAAATGAATGCAAAGAATTAGAAAATGATATATCCTCTAAGTATAATAATTGCCAATAGAGTTATGGTTTTACACATAACAGTTCTAAAGAACGTAAAAAAGTTCTACAAGTTCCAAACTCTAGTTACAACTAGAAAAAGTAGAGGCCTAGCTTGATGATGGAAAAATTAGTTGAAGTGATAAAAAAAATGAATAAGGTGTTATTTACGAATTTGGTGTATTATGGAACCTTGGATATTTGGGTTGATTCCTTAAAAAGTGTCGAGATGTGCTTGTGGTTGATACCTAACATATAGCTATGCAATTAGAGTAGTAATTCAAAGGAGTGTGGTGACCCACACAAAAACAGATTTCAAGTTCCACTTACTTAGGGAGTAAGTATACCAGCAGAGTGCCTTAGCAAGTTCGTCAGTCCTGCAGTTGTCTGACATATATCTGTGTTCAATTACCCATATGAACTGGACACTGACACGCCTAGCTAGCACGTTAAGAGAAGCCTGGTATTCTCGAATTATTAGGGATGTGGCTGTAGCGCCTACCAGAAATATTTTTTATTTTAAATACAAAACAATACTGGTGTTACTGAAATCATACAAAAATAGGTTTGACTGCAAATATGTGATATATTAGAACTAATTCTATTTTATTTTTAATCTGCAAAAATATTTAAATTTTTTTTTTTAATTCTAAATAACAAATACGAAACTTTGAATTGTAAATTATTATATTTAAATAGTTTAAAATATAAAAATAAGATTAGACACACAATGCGATTAGTCACAAAAACAATTGAACACTTAATAATATTTATAAAAATTAGTTAATTATAATTTAAAGGATAATGGCAGGAAACACATTTACATTAGGCAAAAATGTTATAAAAAGCGTAGTTTATAAATGTGATAAAAATTAAAAAAAAATTAGAACATTTTAAAAAATTATATACACATTAAAAATTGTTTACATTTAAATTACATACATATGTTTTATATTAAGAAAAAAATAAAGTGTATTATTTTTTACATTTATTATTTTAGATTTAATATTTTCAAAATAATTTTTTCTTGTTTTTCAAAATTAGTTTCATATTTTTTTAGTATTTTTTTATTAAGAAGTTAAAATAATATATTTAAAAAAAATTTTTTTTTGTTTTAGTTATTTTTTTAATGATTTATTATTACTTTTTTATTATTAAATTTTTTTTATTACAAATTAAAATTTTTGAAATTGTTTATTCAATTTATTAAATTCTTATATTTTATTTATAATATATAACTTATTATATTTTTTTCAATATTATTTTTTTTATACAAATCAAAATTTTTAAATTTTCATTTATTTATTAAATTATTTATAAATATTAAATATGACTTTTAATTACAAATAAAAATTTTTAAATTTTTATTAAATTATTTTTTAACTACTTATTTATATTTTTTCAATATTATATATTATTTTTTTATTTATTAAAATTAAACTTTTTATTAAATTTATTAAATTAAAATTAAAATTTTTAAATTTGCATTTAATTATTAAATTATTTATAAATATTTAGTTCAATATTATATATAATCTTTTTTATTACAAATTAAAATTTTTATATTTTATTAAATTATATTTTAACTATTTTTTATATTTTTCAATATTAATATAATTTTTTTATTTATTAAAATTAAATTTATTAAATTAAAATTTTTAAATTTTTATTTAATTATTAAATTATTTATAAATACTTAGTTCAATATTATATATAATTTTTTTTATTACAAATTAAAATTTTTATATTTTATTCAATTATTTTTTTAACTATTTATTAATATTTTTTTTAAAATTATATATATTTTTTTTATTTATTTTTAATAATTAATATTATTTTTCGTTTTTTATTTTTGAGTATTTTTTTCGTGTACAGCAAAAAAAATTCAGTGAAAAGTGGCACAAATGAAAAATATCAATATTTTAATTCTCTTAATATTTTTTTAAAAGTTCAATTATTGACATTAAATAAAAACAATTTCTATGCATTAAAAATAGTTTTTTTTCTACATCGATTCAATGTTCATGCCGTAGCTCAGCTTTCAATTGAACTTTGCTCAAAGCAAAGCGAAGCAAAGCAATTGACACTGCAAAGTATTTATTTGCTTAAATGCATAATTTAAATTTCAAAAACTTACGCAATTAACCCTTTCACGGCTTAAAACTTAAATGTCACATGCAAGACATGCCAAGCGCAAGACGCAAGTGCATAAATTAAAGAAAAACTTCAGAAGAAAAAAAAGTAAAAAAAAAATTACATTACAAAATATTTGCATTGCAAAGAAAAATTAGTAAACAAGGAAAAAGATCAGTGACAGCATTTTGCTTTTAACCATAAAATAATAAGTCAACAAATTAAACACGTTTGCAACTTTTTTCCCTTTTTTCTTCTTTCTCTATTGTTGTTGTTGTAATTCTTTCAGTTGTTTTTTTGCATTTTGTTGATTTTTGTTAAATAAGCCAAGTCTCTAACCAACGAGGCAACTAAACTAACGATAATAAAAACAACAACAACAGCAACAGCAACAAAGCGTTTGTTTTTACTAAGCTAACCAAGCAGCATTTTCATACTTAATAAGCAAGTCAGACGCAGCCACAGAGCTCTTCACTTGATATGCATCAGCAGCGACGCACGCATCAATGCAGCAAAGCAATAACAACACGAATAGCAAAACCAACAACAACCACAACAACAACAGGAGTAGCTGTAAAGCGAAGCATGAGACGAAATAGTGCTCCAAGCATTGGTTGGGTGTGAAAAAGTGACTGAAAGCAGCAAAAATTCATTTGACATTTTTTTTTCTTTTGGCAATACTGCAAAAGCACTAAGTGGAAGGAAGTGTAAGTGGGAGTGGCAGTGGGCGATGTAGTTGTGCTTAAGTAGCAGTTTTATAATTTTCCTTTTAGTTCTTTTATGTTAGCTGAAAAGCTGCTTAAGCTTCCGCATACATTACGTTATCAAAAAGCAAAAAGGGTGAAGAGATTTTTTTTTCTTTCAATTTTATATGGTAAATGTTACCAGTCAGTCGAGCCGAAAGGTCAAGTTTAGACATACACTTCAGCAAATCTATGAAGGATAAGCATCTCCTGCTTGAGATGTTGCAAATGATTATGCTTTATGCTCGAAATTTTTATGGCCTGACAGAAGGATGTAGAATAAAAAATTTATTAAAAGGTATAAAATGTATAAAAAGAAAATGAGGTAATTTTAATTGCTAAGAAAAACAATTAATGATTGAAAATCATTGGGAACTATTGAAAAGGTCTTTTATATTTTACTTTCCAATAGAAAATATAAATCAAGCTAATTTGTTTTGAGCTGTGATGACAGGTATTTGTTTCTATTTTTATTAAGAATAATCATAATCTAAAATAAAAAAAAAAATTTCCTTATATTTTATATATTATTATAATATAATATATTAATTTATTTAGCTTTATATTTTCAGATACACATATGATCGACCGAAAAAGCAAGTTGGGCATATTCATTAATATTATAGCTTCCAATATCGTTCAAACTGTTAATAGCATCGAGCATTTTGATATTCGAGTAAATGTTGTGAGCATTTGGTTCAAGCACAAATCGGTAAAGCAACAGTTGCTCAAGCACAAGTCGATTAAGAACGAACCGATCAACTGTTCAAGCACGGGCCGATCAAGCACAAAAGCTCAAATACGAGCCGCTTAAAAATATTCGAGCATAATATCATACATTTTGTGTTCAATCATTAGCTGTCATTCGTATTTTCGTAAGACCATCAGAGTAGATAAGCGGTTGGAACCCCTTAAATAAGCATGTGTTACTTTACAGCACTAATCAATACTAAACATAAACAGTAGAATTAATCGAATAGTTGGATATATTACGATTTTAATTTCACCTTAACAAAAAAAAAGAAAACCTATATAACATTATAAGAAAGTGGATAAGATTTTTAGATACTAGACTAAATCTAGGTAGTGTTCCAGTCAATTGCAGTTTGTTTTCTTTAATATACAAAGTGGTGAAAAAAACTGAAGAATTGATGATACACAAGGTCATAATCACTGGATTAAAAAATATAGGACAAAATTCACAGTAAATTAAGGAAAGTAAAGTATCAATCAATGGATTAATAAATGTACGAGAAAATTTATAATATCTGCGAAGAAGTATAACATATAACCTGATTATACTATAAGATGCAATAAAAACACAATAAAGAAAGCTCTCTTCTTTAAATGTTGAAATATTACTGTTGGAAAAAAGTACAATTAAAAAAAAATTTCTCTGTAAGTCTTCCCATAAAATATTTTGAATGTAAGAATCTTATGTGAGGATCTGGAAATTAAAAACTAAAAAAAGTTTACATATTAACCTAAATATGTAAAATCTATAATAAAATAATATTAATAATATATTAAAATAATAACATTTTAAAATATAAAATATTTAAAAAAATATTTAAAATATAATATTTATTTCTTTATAAAAAACTAAAACCTATATTTTATGTTATATTTTTGAAGGATTTAAGTTTTGGGGCTCTCAAGTTACCAAATTTCGGTAACTTCGAATTTCTGTAATATTTTTTGACGCCTGGCACCGTTATCCTCATTGGGCAAAATTATTTTAAATGGTTTTAATAGCACATTTTCAACAAAGGACTTATGATATTTATGTCCAATAGCATTACTAGATTGTGGGGTTAATTCTAGGTCTGAATCACTATCGGAATCATCAGCATTTATTTTATCGGTTTTATTTAGCGTACTGGATGTACTGTCAGTACTAGCATCAACAGTACCATTTAATAGGGTAGGAGAATCATCAAAATTCTCAAGTGACTTATTACGCAAATATGAGGAATCCATTGACATGGAAGTGGTTGACAAAGAGAATTCATCAACCAAACGTTCGAAAGATTTTGCAATCATGCGTTGATTTGTGGATTTGGGTGTACTAGCATCTATAATGCTACTAGTAATGGTAGTACTGTTGCTGCTGTTGGCGTTGTTATTGTTGTTACCATTGCTGGTATTGGTATGGTTGTGTGTATTAATTAAATTTTTCACTTTCAACGAAGTGGAAACGTGTGGCAAGGTCTTGGAATTGAAAGTGCTATTAATTGGCAATAAAGTCGTATTGCCACCAGCAGCATCTCTGGAATCAGCGTATATCAAACAGTTTTCTTTGTTCATTTCTAATTTTAAGTCGTCATTTGCTAGCCTATAACTGTTATTGCGTTTCAAGGGACGACTAGTTTTGGGGGCTGATGTAACAACATGCATATCTGAGTTTGACAGTGGGGATGTTGTTATTGCAGTGCATATACTGTTTGTTGCCGTACCGACAATTGGGTCAACAGTTGTGCAAATCGATTTTTCTACATTGCAACAAGAACAACTACAGTTCGCATTGCTTCCACTTTCTCCATGGCTACCGACACAGCCTTTACGAGCGGAGTTATCGCTTTCAGCAAGCGGTGCATATGCACTCGGGGCAGCATCTGCTAAAGCCATTGTTTTTGCTTGTGCCGACACATTTATTCGTCCCCTCGGCGGTAAAGGTGGAGGAGGTGGGGACTGTAATTTGAAATTGACAGCGGAATGGGGTTGACGTATGGGTAGTGGGGATGCTGTTGCTGCTGTTGTTGTTGTTGTTGTTGCTGATTCATGATTTTCAACCCTTGTCGATTTTAAGTTTTGGTGTGCATTTTGACTTGAAATTTTTTCTTTTATTCCTACCACCGTCATCGCCATCGCCGTCGTCTCTTCGCTTCCTTGCTGTACACTATAAGTAACTCTCACTGATTTTTTTTGTGTTCTAATTGGAGTTGGGGGGGTGGTGGGTCTCGAAGTGGATTTGAAATTTTTAATTAAGTTACCATTAAAGTTTGTATGTAATATATTATTATTATTGTTTTTATTATTATTATTATTATTATTATTATTATTGTTAATATTTAAATTATTATTGGTATGTGTTGTTGTAGTGTCATTTTCTGTTTTTGTTTCAATTATTTTGTGTATATCAAAAGTGTTATTTACATTCAAATTAGGATCGTTATTAGCATTAAAATTTATATTAGCGTCATAATTTCTAATTTTTAACAAATCTACCAAATATTGCTTACCTTCTTCTTTCGCCGTCGAAGAGGATGTTGATGATGAAGCAGTGGATGCAGTTGAGCCACTTGTGTTCGTCGATGTTGATATGGTGGAACCAGTCGAGGAGGTGGATTTGGTTGATGGTGAGGGCATCATTGTGGATTGGAAAAAGGGATTTGTGTGATTAGCTAATAGATTTTTGTTTTCTTGATAGGAATTGTAGGAAAGAGGTTCGTGTTGTTGTTGTGGTTGTTGGTCCATATATGTTGTAATAGGCATGTTGAATGATTGTTGCTGTTGTTGTTGCTGTTGCTGTAGACGTTGGGTTTGTTGTGACAATGGCGATGTTGATACTATCGGACGCACATTGGCCACTTTTCTGTTGGCAGCGATGCCACCATTCAAGAAAAGTAATTTAGCTGCACTTGTGGCTGCGCTTCTTGGCACTATGCAATTCGCACTTTCACTATTACCGATTTGTTGCTGTTGTTGTTGCGATTTCGTTGCCGTTATACTTTCTACTGCGTTTTCGTTAAGCGCACTTTCAGTTTCTTTTACATACGGACCAGGTGCGAATGTTGTGTGCGCGCCTTTGCGTCGTTTCAAACTGTCGGAATCGTAAATAATTTTTCCTTGTGCATTTACCCGTACACGCGCTCCCTTATGCTGTGCCAAGGGTGAACTGTGCGATGACTTTTCTGTAAGCTCGCTAATTTCCGCATACATCGGGACCACATTTGTGCTTTCGCTTTGTTTTCGTTGCCATTGTTGCTGCTGCTGCTGTTGCAGTTGTTGTTGTTGTTGTTTGGATTCTGCGCAGTCGATGAATTTCATATTGGAAGTGTGGGTTTCATTGTTAGTGCCATAAGTTGCACTCAGTGCCGCCGCCGTTGCTGCACTGTCACTATTAATTTTACGCAAATGATACGGCAGCTCATTCAATGAAACGTATTCTGTCTCTCGTTTTGGCGTGTCGGGTTCGTTACCCTTCGTGACGACACTGTTAGTGCTGTCGGCGCTGTTTTTGCGCCTATATATGTCATTGGAATAGTAAATTCCAAGACTGCTTGTGCCCACTGACTTCGGTGCTTGCAACTGATTGCGACGATTGTTATTGCTTATATCTGCTATGGTAACATACTCACCGGCTGTGTCGTACAATTCATCATCGTCCACTACAGCGTGGGCTGAGCTTGACGAGCTTTTGCTAGGCGAACGCTTTATGTTTGGCAATACAACTTTCAGCTTTTCAAGCATATTATTGAAACCATAGTTGGAACTACGTTTGAGTACATTTAAGTTGTAATCCTTGTTGGCAACGCCAGTGGGTGTTAGTTGTGGTGTTTTGTCAGCTTGCAGCTCATCAACTGTAGAGTATTCAGCTTCGTTAATTTTTAATTCTAGTAAAGCTTCAGCTTTTACTGCAGCTTTCTCACAGGGAGAGCTTTCGTTTGTTAAAGTTTTATTTGGATCGAAACCATTGTCCTTAGCTTGGTTCTCATCATCACTAGTGGTTGGCGTTATGACACACATAGATGGTATACGCTTGGCGTTTATAGCAGTCTTTTGTTTAATGCGTTCAATACGTTCCACACCCTCTAAATCCGAGCTTTCGGAACATTCTATTTCTGAAATTATAGCTGCCGGCAGTGGCTGTGCAGTGCGTTTTCGTATGCGCTGCTCAAAGTTGAATTCATCATCTTGAGATTCTGGTGTTTCAGTGGACTTATCGGTGACGTCGGAACCATCAATCGGTGATATTTTAAGATTGGCATTAACATTACGTTTGATGGTACCAGTACGTTCTAAAGTGCTACCAATTGTGCTACTGGAGTAGCTGCGCTCTAATGTGCTGGTACTAGCGCTGTTGCTGTGATTGCTCTTATTTAACTTACCCAAAGAACTTATGCGTTCAGGCACATCTGGTCCAAGTCCATTTAAACTACTCTGCTCACCATTCATCATAAGTGTGGTGCAAACGGTGCCAGCAGAGCTTGTTGTCGTCGAAGTGGAACCTCTGCCAAAGAGCTCATATTCATTTTCTGCACTAAGTACCGTTTGATTGGCTTGACTACCGAAAGAATAATTGTTTGTATGTAAATTGTGACCACTTTGTATAGGTGTAATTAGTGTTTCTTCTTCTTTTAGCGTACGTAAACCGCTATCCATATGAAAAGATGTATAATAACCTTCTGTGTCGCAGGAATATGCAGAACTTGTCTCATCATCCAAATGATTAGGATACGTACCATCTGTTACCTGTAAGTCTGGTGTTGCTGTGCCCTCACTTGTTACACTACTCGAAGCAGATGTATTTAGAAAACGGCGCCGACTCAACATAGATGATGGCGGTCCACTACCCGGATGAAAACTAGAGACATTCAGTGAAGTATTTGAAGCGCTGGATTTTGGTTGTATTGTTATTTCGCTGCCGATTGAAGCACGTCCCGATTCCGAACTAGCACTCCAATTGCCACTCGAAGAATGCGGCTGTTCATCTTTACCGCATAAACCATTCGCTGTGATACCATTGCGACGTTGACGATTCAACGATGACGTATCGCGCAACTTGACATTGCCACAGGTGGCCAAATGTAACTTACCCCTGAGATGTCCACTGCTGCTAACGCTCATGCTCTTCTCAGACGACGAATATGAGGGTTTTCGTTCGTGCGAAAACCGACCTTCGTTCTTTTGGCTTATCAATTCGTGCACCACACATTCATCATCGATATTGCCACTATCTGCAGTATGCGAAGAGGTTTTGTATGATGAACCACTGCTGCCACTACCGCTGCTATTGTTGCAATTCGTTTTCAGTTCCGCCTTTTCATTGGCGGCACTACTTTGTGTAATGGAATTGCCATTGTCTGGCCCATTGCTGCTATTGTTGCTGGCATTCAGTGTCAACGTTGCACTCTCGTTACGTTGCATAAATTTAAACCGATTACGGCCCCATTGCTTCAATGAATTAAGACGTGTCAATGTGCTCTTCCCTTTGTCATATGGCAAGGCAACAGATTCTTTTTTTAAGATATCGCTCGATTTGCTGCGTCCAAATTTCTTGGATTTTTCACTACGTCTGCTGTTGGCATCTTCATCAATGACGGCTGCGGCGGCTGCAGTACCAGTGGCGGCGACAATGCCGGCATTTGTGGTGTTCTTAAGTTCACCGCTGGTTGCAGTTGCATCGCTAGATTGGAATAATTTTTATGTTTTTAATCGAATGCATGGTTTGTATGTTTGTATGTATGTAAAAATGTTGGTATGTATGTGTGTGTTTGTTGTTGTTGTGTGTGTGTGTGAAAAAAGAAAAGAAAATAAATTGTTTGATTTTTGTTAGCATTTTTAATTAATTTTAAATCAGTTTAAAATAAATGAAAAAAAATGATAAATGAATTTAATGAATGATGTCTAGTTTAGTTTGGTTTTTGGGCTGATAAAGATTTCAGTAGCTCCGAATGTAGCTGTCCAAAGTTTTCAACTATAAAGTAAGAGCCCACAAATTATTGTGATTTTAATATTTTTTCATATATTTTATTGTTTTATTTTGGTTTGAGTGCTATTTGTTTATTGTTCATTATTAATACCACTTAAGTTGCATACTTAACTGGAAATTTGTTGCATATCAATGGATGGAGGAAGTTAAATGCATAAAAAATACATAAAAAACTGATTTGATTTGTAAATTAATTAATAAAGTTTAAAGAGTTCATCATTTTTTTAAAGTATTTTTTTTTAATTTTTAATATTTTTGTAATATTTTTTATGAACAATTTAATTTTAATTCAATTTCCATTCAATCACAATAAATACTACTAAATATAAATATTTTTGTTATTTTGGTTTTTTTGATAACGTAATAATTAAAATCAATCAATTGTTCCGATAGGTCTGCGGAAATGCACTCATTAATCTGCTTTCCATGCTTGATTCATTTTGGAATAATATAAACAAATTTGTTTATAATGAATTGTTTTTTCGGGAAAAGGGCGTAAAATTGGGTTAACTTTTGTTAATACATGGAGAGAAAGTTTGGTTTTAGTTTCGGGTTTTAAATAAATCACAACATTAACTTACAATATTTATGCACAATCAATCATTTTTAGTATTAATACGAACATATATAACTATGAAGAGGCGTGACGTCAAGGGGGCTGTACGTACACTTTAAACAGAAGTAGAAAATATCTTGTAGTGAAAATGGAAAATAGTGGAAACAATGCAGCACTTAAGTGCTTGAGTAGAGAAAAATACAATCTTTTATTTTCATTTTCATTCCAAACCTAAGGAAAAAGGCATAAAAATCAGTTATTAGTCGAAGTTTCACAATTGAGGTTAACATTTTTAAAAGCAAAAGACACTAGAGTCCTTTCATTGTTGCCGAATAGTTGTTCCACATAAAACGTAGAAAGGGAGTTGCCATATTGCAGTATTTGGATTTTAGGTGAGTAACAAATTATTTGAGCATAATTATTGAAGTTCAGTAGAAGCCTGTTACACTTAAATTAAAATTTATTTAGTAGGATGTACTACCTACCGGTACTACCACTCGTAATCGAATACCAAATGCAGATCAGTAGCTTTCACAAACATACATATATTAAGTAGTTTTTTCATTTTTATAATGTTAAGCTGACTGCTAAGTTGAAAAATAGTGTTCATTGACCTTCTTTATCTATTCGGTAGCTTTTAAATAATGTTGGGATTATCCTAAATATGATCGATTAGGCCACAAAATTGGAGCAAAATATAGTACAAGAGTAAATTTAAACTTGCCCATGGTTCTAACAGTGTTAAGAGTATAATTCATTGTCGTAGAGTGTTAAAGTAAACTGATATGTTTAATACTTTTAATAATTTTAACAATAATAACTACAGAAACGACTTGTTGAAGTCAACTTTTAGCTTTATATGAGTTAAAAGCCTATAATGATTTGTTCCTTAGGAGTATTCGTAGAATACAACTTAGTCAATTATTTACTATTCCTACTGGGTTTCAATAATGGTATAAATTAAAATTACTAAATATTTTATATGAAATTTGTATATTTAATAAAAAAAACTTTTTTAAACTTTAAATCTTTTTATGCAAATTTAACACGCAGAGAAGCAGAGAATATTTTGCAAGATCTATTAAATAAAACATGCCGCGGTAACAATTTTGTGTAATTGGAACTTGCTCAGTATTGAATTGCAAGTCATAAATTCATTGAATTGGAATAAATGGAACGGACGGTCTAGGAAAACATCTTTCAGTTTTGCTAGTGTGAGAAGTGGTGGGGAGAAGAGTTATGATGCGGCGATTTGGTTCAATTCAATAACAAAACTGTCAACCAAATTTAATGAATTGCAGTGAATTCAACCAGGAAAGTATGCAACTGTATGTTGGCATGATATGTATGGAGGCTTGGTGAGGTGGAGGTGAAAATCTAAAGACATGTATAGAAAACTGAACAGTTACACTGATGTAATACTGAAAACTTTTTTGGAGAGTTATGTGTAAATTTTTAAATTTTTTAGTTTGGTTAAAATAAAAATGAAAAATTATATTTATGTATTTGAAAAAAAAATCTTTTTTTATGAATTTTGATGTTTATGGAAATATTTTTATGTCAATTGTGTGACTGTTTCTTTTTTTTATTGTTATGACGTAGGTGTTTTGGTTCCTGTTTGTTGGTTTGCGCTAATATATGAAAATGAATGACTGCAGATTTTCGAATTATGTTTTTTTTTTGTTTTTGGAACTATTTACAATTTATTATAATTATTTTTTTCTCTTTTTTTTTGGTTTGTACAATTTGTTAGGCTGTTATTTGGTTACAGATGTTAAATTTTATTTGTACTAATTTTAAATCATTTTTGTTAATTAAAAATTGCTTATTTGTAAATATACTAAACTTAAATATTTGCATGAAAAAGAGCAAACAAATTATTTACATTTCAATCAAAAAAATAAAATAAAAAATGAATTTTCTTTTATTAAATTTTTGTTTTAGTTTTTAATTTAAACATGCTGTGCTTAATTATTTAATGGCATTAAGCAAAATTTAAAATATTTGCAAAATTAATTATAATTTTGATATTTTATAACACAACATCGAACATATTTATTTGCAAGAAATATAGACATAAATACTAATTAAAAATTAACAAAAAAAAAAAAAAACAAAATAATTATAAACAAATTATAAACAGCATAACAAATTATATTAAAATCACAATAATTTCATTAAATATCTTTATACATATTTTTATCTTTCGGTATACTAAATGAAGTATATAATGTAATGCAGTTATATATAATATGCTTTTATACTCTATGTAAATTTTATTCTTTTTTATACACTTCTCAACTAATAATTTGATTATAGTTTACTACATTCATAATATACTTTAAATGAGTATATGTTTTTTTTTTTTGCTTTTGTACAAAAAAAAAAAATGAATAAATAAATAAACACAATAACAATAATAATAACAATAATTGTGCCGCTAAAATGAAATCATATTTGTATGAAAATAAAAATAATAACAGCAGCAAGTTTGAATGATCAACATTCCGGTCGCTAACAGCATCATCATTATTGTTATTATTATTATCATTATTGCTAATGTTATACGTAATAAAGTTTATAGGCAGTGCTTTTGTAGCCTTTGTAACATACCCATTTGCAGCATCTTGTATTTCCTTTTGATCAATACCAGCGATTGTGTTTCGTCGTTTGCCGCGCACCTTACGTGAACGTGAACGACGGCTCACTGTTTGAACGTCGTCATTTAAGTTATTCGTGTCGGTCAAATTGGTAAAGACACCGGTTGTAGACTTGCGCGCCATGCACATACGTTGAAAACGTTTGCCCGATGTGTCCACTGAAATAACTTCGGCAGGATATCTAAATAAGTGGGTTGGAAGGAGATAAAAATAAAGGTAACTCATTTTTAGTTGAACTTTTAAAACTATGAAAGTATGTTAAATATATACGTAAATATGCAAAAATAAATTATGTGTAAGTTAAAGTATTTTTCTCTTATTTAAAACAAAATATGTTAATAAAATGATAAAAAAAATTACAATTATGTCTTGTAAGATCAAAAGAGGAGGTAACAGCAGCAGCAACAGCGCAGCTACACCACTCGAATCGCATAAAAATGTTAAAGTATTTAAAGGGGCAAGTGAAACAGCGGGAACTTTTTGATTTACAAAAATTTTATTGTTGTTGCTTGCAAAATGTGTTGTTATTGTTGTTTTTGCTTTGCAATGCTTTTGCGAATTTTATTATTGTGTAGCGTATTGCAGAGGTTAATTGCGGCCGCAGTCAATAACGTGGGTCACGAAGTTATCTTATAAACTCATTAAGGAACGTGGTGTAATTGGCTACTGTAAAATTTTTCTGATTGGAAATTTTAGTGTAGGCATTGCTGTTGCCTATTGAAAAAACCATCGAACAATGCAATCTGGTAGGTTTGATTGTGGTGAATATTGGGTTTTTTAAATTGAATGCAATTAAGAAATACAAGATGGCTTATTTTTGATGACTCGTTGGCACATAGCCGACAATAGGCCGGCCGGCAGTTGGCAGAATTGCTATTGTAAGCTCTATATATATTGTTATATATTTTAAATAATAAAACTAATAAAATAATAAATAATATAAAAGAATAAAAAAATTAAAAAAAAAATTATTAAAAAATAATAATAAAACTACTAGTATTACTATTATAGAGTAATATTTGTATGTTTTTAATTTATAGTAGGCTATAATTTTACGGATGTGTTCGATTTCAAAGCATAGGCAGTTAAATTATTGTTCGGATAAACACAACACTTTTCGTGAATTCACAAAAAATGGTCAATGATATGGCAAGCTGGCAAAATCATTGGGAAATTCCTCACGGGATCTAGTAATAATTGGAAGAATCAAGGTTAATATCTGTTATAAAGAGATACTAGGCTAGAGAATGGCATAGAGCCATGGTCGGTCTGCTCTATTGAATCCGTTTTACTGCATGGCTACCGACGCTCGATGAAAAAATACCAAAGCATCGTTTGTGTCTATGTTCAGTCTTGTTCAGAACCAGGCTTAAGCCTTAGGTCTTAGTATTGGCCAGATACTTGCATTTATCAATGCGTCTAGCTAGTTCGAATATACACACTGTTCTATTCACAATTATGAGGAATATGGAATGGGAACGGTTTTCTTAGCTGATTGAGGAGGTTTTGATCTATTTTCTATTTTAGTTACTTACACAACGGTACACAGCATTGTTCTATTCACAATTACGAGGAATATGGAATGGGAACGGTGTTCTTAGCTGACTGAGGAGGTTTTGTTCTATTTTCTATTTTAGTTACTTAAACAACGGTTCAGTTATAAAGCATCTGTTGTGTCTATATCCAGGCTTGTTCAGAACCAGGCTTAAGCATAAGGTCTTAGTATTGGCTAAATACTTGCATTTATCAATGCGTCTAGCTAACTCGAGTATGCACATCGTTCTATCCACAATTACAAGGAATATGGAATCGATACGGCTTTCTTAAGGCATTGTTTTGTGAAAATCACATATCTGGTACAACTATAAATTCAGTTTCACTCCAAAAAGTGTTAGTCAAGTTGTAATTTTAAATCTTCAACCTCAACCTTTTAGACTCCAGTTCTACAATGTTTAATACTTATAAACTTGAATGAATTTACCTTAAGAAAAAAAAAGAATTTCCATAAAAACGTATTAAAGTACAAAATCAACAGACCATTAAACAAATAAGTCAAGCCAACTATAGTATAGTTCCAGAAATACAAAAACAAATATACACTCACAATGCGCCTTGCCCTAATAATTTATTTCTGTGTTTTCCTCTTGCTTTTATGGATGCTATTTAGGCTTGTACCCAGAGATATCTACTTCGTATGGATATAATAGTTTGGTTTTGTACTTAACACATGCATAATTGTTTTCCGCATCGTAAAATAATTGAATTAATTTGTTTAAACTGCAGGTATTTGCTGCTTATTTACATAAAACCATTTTTTTTATTTTTGTTTTTTTTTTTGGTTTGAAGTATATTTGTTTGACAGAGGCTTGTCGTCTAACAAATTGGAACTGCTGTGGCACAAATTGGTATGCCACAAAATGCGAGTGTTCACCACTCAGCACGTTTTTGAAATGTACGCGTATCTGGTAATGTGCATAATTTAGACGAGCTCTCAACCCATCTTCTCGCTCCAAAACCGCACTAACATAAATATTTTACATACAAAATTTTAAATGAAATTAGCATAAATAATGAATTGTTTGCTTAGTTTTAAAAAGTTAAGGGCTTGCTGCATGCAGAATGCATGCATTTCAGTTGCTGTTAATTATGCGTAGATAAGCATTTGTGCGTAGAATGGGTAGCGCACAGCGCTGAGCTGCGTAAACACGCGTTGTGGTCGCTGTAATAAATCAATGAGTTTGGTGCCGTTTAACATAAAACATAAATGCCGATACAGACAATAGTGCATATATCCGATTATAAACAAACATTAAAAACTATTTAAAGTTGGTAATTGGCAATTATTTTTTAAACATTAAGCAGAGTATTATTTACACCTAAAGTCCTTCTTTGTCATGTATTAGTAGGTGGTACTGATAGACCACTACTGTCAATTATAGTCTGGAATACTAGAACTATTTTACATTTTTTTTTGGAAAAAAAGGATTAGTTTGATGTTCAGTGTGCATTATTTACACCTAAAGTCCTGATTTGTCATGTATTAGTAGGTGGTACTGATAGACCACTACTGTCAACTATAGTCTGGAATACTAGAACTATTTTAAATTTTTGTTTGGAAAAAAGAGGATTAGTTTGATGTTCAGTGTGCATTATTTACACCTAAAGTCATGATTTATCATTTATTAGTAGGTGGTACTGATAGACCACTACTGTCGACTATAGTCTGGAATACTAGAACTATTTTACATTTTTTTTTTTTGAAAAAGGATTAGTTTGATGTTTAATGTGCATTATTTACACCTAAAGTCCTTATTTGTTATGTATTAGTAGGTGGTACTGATAGACCACTACTGTCAACTATAGTCTGGAATACTAGAACTATTTTTTTTTGGAAAAAAAAGGATTAGTTTAATGATCAGTGGCGTATTCAAAGGGAAGCAATATTATATATAATATAAACATTTAAAGAACTGTATAAAAAAGTATTTTTCAATTTATTCCTCTTGGCACAATTTTAACCACGTTCCTTTTGACGGAAATTGCAAGTTTTCCAAATGTAGTAATTTGTAATATAAAAATAATTTTAATAATCATAGTATTGAAACTACTATATATGTATATGAAAAGTACATATATAATTTTTGCTCCTTTTTGAATTAATATATATGTTACATACTTTATGTTATTTGTAACGAAAATAATGTTTTTAGATTACTTAGTCAATTAATCCATTAGCTCGCATGACAGATACTCTCTTGGCTAGAGACACAAGTATTCCCAAGTGACTATTAAGTTACCTATAAACTCAAAATGCCAGTCCATCAGTCATCTCCACATCTACGAATGTGGATTACTTGCCCATTTAATAGAGTAGAAGTAGAAATGCCTATATGGTACGTTCGGTATTGATGAAGAGTGTATAATTAATCATCTGTTGAAATCATCTCGTTACATCAGTTATAGAATAAATCCCTGTTTCCGCATTATTATACGGATACCGAAGCTACTTTTATTTGAGAGAGAGAGAGAGAGAGAGAGAGAGAGATTTTGCATATTCTTAAATGTACAACTCAAAATCTAACCATATACATATTGAAAACTTTAATTGGAACATGTATTACAATAGAAAAAAATTTTTTGTTAAAATATTATCAACAATTAGAAATATTTTTATATTTAAATGATATGAAACTCATTCGTCCTAAAGTTTCATACTAAGTATACCATACAATATATATACCTAATTCCTTCACTGTCAATGTCTTAAAAAAAAAATTAATTGTATAGTATAAAAAGGTAAAAATTTTATATATTTTAAATAATTACATTATAATAAATTAAAATTATAAAAAAAATTGAAATAAATATAATTTCTTATTATTACAATTCATTATATTATAATTTCTTATAAATAAACATAATTTCTTATTACTACAATTCATTGTATTATAAACAAAATAGTAATTATTAAAATTTTTTTAATATATTAAGAACCAAACGCGTTTCGTTTCATTGGTGTATAAGGAGGTGGCAGATCAGATGATAAACATTCCATAGAAAGAGAACGATTTTCATTAGCATTCATTGTTGGCTGATAGGTGATAATAAAATTCGGATAAGTTGTTTCCGTCAACATTTGTTTTTGAAAAGTTTTCTTACATATTATATAAATTATTATTACACAAATTAGTAACATCGCAAATAAAAGTCCATAGAATATGGAACCCAAGACTAAGGCATTTTCACATGGCACATACCATTTTGTAATTATTAAATGTAGCTGACATCCTTTCTGCCTACTTTTATACAACGTATCTTCACATGACTTTGTTTCTTTATTTAATTCATATCCTTGGATACAACCACAAGTGTTAGGAGCAATACAAATTGAATGTTTTTGGTCACAAAGATCATTACAAATTGGCTGACAACTTTTATTTTTTAACTTATATCCATCGATGCACTCGCAATGATTAGGTGCTGCACAAAAACTGAACACGGGACATTCTTTTGCACAGTGCGGTTTACATATTCCATCAATATTTTGATAATTTTCAATACAGCTACACATACCTGGTTTAGAGCAATAAGCTTTTTGAGGACATCCGCCATCACATATTGGTTTACATACATTATTTATCATTATGTAACCAGAATCGCAGACGCATTTTTCCGGTGCCA